GATGAATCCTTTGGGCAATGCTTTTTGTTTCAGATCAGTGAAAATCCACACACATTCTTCACTTCCGTTTTCTTTTTGACCATTGATGACATTGGGCCGCCCCACTGGGGGTATTTTTGATTCTCTGATGGAGCCGTTGGCAAGTAACTTGTCTACTTCCGCAACTGACCGCTTCGTTGAATAGGCGGCGTTAATTTTCTCCTCATCTGTCGCACGGCGATGTACGTGGATCGATATTCAATTCAGCTTGTGGGTAGCGATGTCCTCGGCGGGATTCCCGCATATTTTCTGAATGGGAAAAAGGCGAAATTTAAAATAACGTCATGGTTAGTTAAGAAGTCACGATACTTACTTGGGTTTGGCGACGACCGTGCCCGTTATAAGGCTTTCTTACGTAAGATTGGTTTCGTCCAATTGAACTGGACGTGTCGAGATCTCTCGTGTACCATCCTTCCGTCATCTTATCCAGCTGGTACAACTATCATATATCCGCGTCGCTTCGGCTCACTATCGTCGGGGGTCTTTGGTGATGGCGTCCGGTTTGTCGGCGTTGACCTTAGTCCCCGACACGGGACTAATTGCTATGCCTCTGCGCTCGCCCCCCTTTAGCTGTTGGGTAGTGGGTGCAGTCTTGGGCTCTATTTTGGTAGCATCTTGGTGCGGTGCGTGGCTCGCCGGTCGAATATTGAATATTCCCATAGGGTTAGGGAATGTTGATCACTTGGTTAAAGGCTTGAAGGGACCGCTCGCATTGGCGTGTATCCTACGGGCGTACCTATGATGGACATTGTAACGGCATTCTTGGTTCCCTCACGTGGAAAGTTGTTTTCAGCGTTGACTCCTCCTGCTAAGGACGCGGCAGTGCTATTTCTCCGGACGTCCGTTCCACTGCATTTGTTTAAAACCGGTTAGTGTTTATGCAGCGCGGTAATTACCCTATCCTCGAGTCCATTTTGTGACGAGGACGCCTTGGGTGGATAATACAAGGCGCCACTTTCGTCATCGGATCATTGATTCTTTTAACATCTGTATCACGTCGATACGTAAAGTGATACTAAAGCATTCCGTATGAGGGAAAAGACAAACCGTCGGCATCAAGACTTATCGAATGTGATCTTATCTTCGAAGTCGCATTACCGTTCGATGGGCGATGGTCCGCTTTAGTTTTGTGCGTCGGTGGTGAATTGACGTGATGATCGCCAAGTCGTCGCCGCTCCGACGATCATGTTTTAATCGTGTGTGCTGGGGAGGGCGGCTTCGCGGCCCAGGGGTTTGTTCCCGTTCGCTGTGCAAAGTTTTGTAATTTTCCTTTGTCATTGAGTAAAATTCCTCAGTTACCCCTGGTTCCAGCATCCTGACCACCTCTTGCCCTAGGGCCTATGCAGTCTTCGGTCTTGTGCCCCCGTCCTGATGGAACTCACATAGACGTTTTGATTTCCTTGTGGCGGGGTCTGATTTCATCTTTTGCGCGGCCACTGCACTTTGGTGCCCAGGTTCTCCAGTGCGTACACTATTTTCTGAAGGAGACCACACAAAAGTCTATGGCGGATAATAAAGGAGGCGTACCTCTTTCGTCGTTCGGCAGGTGGGGCGACATGTCACTGGTAGCGCGTCCCTGTTATGCCTTTGGTGGCGGATGGGAGATCTGGTTATGGCTGATGGTCGACTCTGTTGGAGCGAGGGAGTTGTTCTCGTCGTCCTTCGTTCCGTCGATCTCTCCTCGTTCTGAGTGTATCGCCGTTACCCCATTGAGATCATCCTCGTCCGCTAACGTACCTTCAGCGCAATAGGCGTTGTGGATTTCCTCCACTGTGGTAGGGG